TGGAGGGCGCTACAGTGCACCTCCTGCTGGGCTGGAGTAGACAGCTTGGGCCAAAGCTAATCCACCCACCCTGCAACGGGGTTTGTGGGGAAGGTGCAAAGCATCCTGGCATGCTGGGGGGACTGAGAGTTAACTTGAATCTGGAGGAGATCTAGGACAGAAATTCAATAAACAGATTTAACTTAAATCAGTTAATTCTGATACTACAACCATCCAGATTTATTGTAGACTGGTTTCAGCCATTATGAAAGTGGTTTATGTACACTGAACTTCTGTTTTGTTACAGATTTGAACATGTTTTTGATCACTTATACCGGTTTATTTGTAACTGCTGTCCGTAGCCAAAACAGTCAGCCCACTTCATAAGCTTAAAATAGCATTGCCTCAGGTGACATTGTACAGCCATTGTACATTGGAAATGAATGCATCAAAAAGGTGAGTGAGGAGTTTTAGAGTTTTTATAAGACATTACATATTTTTTTTATTAATATAAAGGATGCATATTCCCTAATGGAACATAGATTTAAAAACATCCAAGTGACAGAGAATCCTGCTTTTTTTTTTTTTACTTCAAAACAAAAGCTTTTTTAAAAAGAGCATTTCTCATACTACATCAGATTCTACCTTTTTTTTCAAATCAAACATGTTCTCTCACTCTCTAATTTTCCATATTTAAAAAATCTTTTCCTTGATTATAACCGTTGAATGAGTCTCAATAACTATCCTTAGGACCTCTGTGAGGAGGAAAGTTTACCAAGAAGAAAATGGTAATGGCAAGACCTGGGCTGAGAGCGCACCAGTAAGGTACAATATGTTGAGGTTTTAAGCCATAGAACAGGATCTGATGCCGTTGCTGTTAGTAGTACTCCGAATATGACAGTTGCTGCCCAAGCTTATGAAAACGTTCAGTCCTTTCCTCTCCAATCTTCTGCTTTAAGCTACTACTAAGAGAGACCGAGCTTGGCTGACTGTCATAGAGCTCTGATGTGAGCACTGAAGTTGAGTAAAAAAATGTGCACCATCATGGTCTATTTTCAGTGTGTGCAAAGTTCATTCTTTACAGAATATTGGGCCAGTCAAAATGCAAAATAATAAGGTAGGATGAAAGGAAGTACCTTGCCTTTTTCCACATTCTTCCTTCTAAGACTACAAAAGCACTTTACAAACAACTGTGAAGTTACATCTCTCAGCACCCTTGAGAGCCAGATCAGCATTATTTTTCCTGAGGCACAGATCATTTAGGGTTCAGATGTTCAAAAGTGCCCAAATCTAGACACTTGTGCCTTGACTTTCAGAGATGCTAGTACCCAGATGTAGTCTGTAAGAGCCGTACTTGTGTTGTTCAGAATATCCAGCACCCTCTTTTGAAAACGTTGCTCAAAGTGACTTGCCCACAGTGAATCAGGAGTAGCAATAGAAATAGACCTTGAATCTTTTAACATCCAGTCCTGATGCTTGAACAAAAAAACTATTTTCTTTTGAACATCTTCTGAAGAGAATGGAAAACTCAGGTTATAATGCCTCGTTCTTGTGATGGAGGTGTTAGTAGAAACAAACTCAGAAATGGACCTTCTTAGTGGTTGTAGGGAGATTTTTGGAGTCTATCGGTTCAATTTTAGTCCTTTATCATGAAGACCATTAACCTTCATCTTGTAGCAATTCTTGCTTCAGAGCTGGGAGAGTGGAGAAGATAAGAAGTGGTATGATGAATAAAGCCTAACACAGACTGCCGCTTTGTCCTCTGTTCAGGTTAGAGACATGGAGAAAGAAAGAAAATGAAAGGGCTAACAATGCAAAGGAAACGTGAACAGCAATGGAGTTCCAAAACCAGCAGTATCTCTGGTATCAAACAAGCCAGTCACTGCACCCAACCAGCCGCTTCCCCGTGCTGTAAGGTTCGTTATGGGTAATAATGAGTAATATGTGCATGCAAATGTTAACAAGAAGAAATCCTGTTTTGTCCAAGCACAGAGGCATCTGGGTCCTAAGTTTCATTTTAATTGGGAAGGGAGCAGGGGAAGCTGCTGTAGAAGAACTGGAGGTGAAGCAGAAGCATTGTCAAGTGGTAGAAAATGGTTTCACTGGAGAATCTCTTGCCAAACTGAGATATTTGCTGTTCCCCCCCCTCCCCTCCATTATTAAAGCTATATTGCAGTCTCACACACCTCCCAATTTCAGTAGTGTTCACATTCAGGTTTTGGTTTGACAGAAGCCTCCATTAAAATACTCAGATCTAAACACTGTGCATCTCAGATTGGAATAATTTTCCTGTTTGGATCCATCTCTGCTATTGGACTATGCCCCTTAAGTTCAAAATCATGTCAAACCTTTCCTAGAAAGACATGAAGGTAAATTTCTTCATGGAACAAAATATTTCCATTTATTTTTTTCCCCCTTTGGGCTTTGCTTCTCCTTTCAAACTGCCTCTCTGCTCCCTTGCTGCTTGTGATCGTGTACAACACCCAAGCACAGAAATAAAGCTGCAGTCATTCTCAGTCACCACTGGAATGTCAGTTCACCCAGTTCATTTTTTCCCATTGTACTGGGTGGGGTGGTAACTTAGTTGCATACAGAAACAGGCTCTTTCTTTTTTTAGTATTATCGACTATATTAAGCTATTCATCAGGCTGCCAGTTTGGCCCATTACTAAGGAAAATAAGTAGTTTCCCTTCTGCTGTGGAGAATTGGAAGTTACGAAGTACTTATGTGAGGTCTGCTCTTGATTCAGCCATTCATTGTAGCAATCCCTGCTTTGTGTATGATACGCTGAAACAAGCCAGTTAAAGCAGCAATATAGTGAGCATTAGGGACAAATTCCCCTTTCATAATGCTGCTTTAAAAATAAAAACATGGCTGTACTCTAAGCCTATAAACAGCATCAGTTGCCCTGAGATGAGGACAACACACAATTACCATCCCAAGATGCTGGATCACAGACGCACAGCATTATTGTGCCACTTGGCATCTTAATTTGGTTCAATCAGCATATCGAAATATACAGATGAATTCTGTTTTGCCAAATGTTGCAGGGACAGGACTCTTGAATGCGGCTGCATTTTAATAATCTGTCAGTCGCGTGAAGACAGCTTGTGACAGACAGAGCAGAGAGCAACGAGTTGGCCAATGAAAACACAGCTGGTAGATCTCATTTGAAGGGTGCTAGCTTTTCAGCTGCCTCTACAAAGATTAAATGAAATCTTCTGGATTCAAGGCTCAACTCACCTTGTTCAGGACAAGTTTCAGCAACCATCCCTGGGTTTTTCTCCCTTACCTCATCCCTTGTGGTTTTGGCAGGGAAGTCACGCTAATGGAAATGTACTGAAATGGAATGCAAAACCTTCTGAAACTTGCCTGTGTCTTTTGTATGCACAAAATGCAGGCCAGGACTATGCAAAAAAAAAAGGTTGCGCTCATTTTTAAATCTTGGTGTGGGGGGTGAGGGGAAAAACCTGCTTTGATTTATGTTCTCTCTTCAAACCCAGGTGAACTTTGCAATTTTGCATGGTATGGACACAGAAAGAGGGAGATCTCACATTTGTAACTGAGTTTTACTTTAAGCGTTTGCCTTTTTTCAGAACCCATGGCTCAAAAAATGTTGAGCATCTACCAAATGAAATTACTGAATTTACTAGCTCTCCTCTCTGCTCCATTCTCTTGCCTAATTTTTTGCTGTTTGAAAGCCAAAACGCAATGTAAGAAGGAACTTTTTGCCACCTCCAAAAAAGTCATTGAGTTGGTATATGTGGGAAGGGCTTCTGTTCTAAAGATAGCCTTCAGCATGTGGGTTGCGTATGAGGGCTGATTTTAGAATAGAGTAAGTCCTGGCAGAGTTGAGGGTCTGTCTCCAGTTCTGTAATTACGGTACGAAGTTTGGATTTGGCGTTTTTTATTGCTTGCGTGTCACAGTCCTTTTCAAATGACCACTGGTAGATGCATTGGTAGAATAAGTTTCCTAGATTAACTACCGAAAAAAAGGAAACCAACTGTGATTCTTTTTATGAGTATCTGTTATTTCCACAGTTTGGCTCTTTTATAATTAAGTTTTATTTCTGCCATCATGATGTACTGTACTTTCCAATTAAAATGAAGCAGCTCCATGCTCCAACTAGCTTACAATCTAAAAGCCACATCCTGGAAGCCTGTAATCTCTTCTGAATGAGTAAAACTTTTCATCTAAGGGCGACCCATTAGGGCTGAGTGAAGCTTTGGTCCCTGATTTGATTCAGCAGAGATTTGGTCCAATTCAGTGGCCAAATCTCTGAATCTGAATTGAATCAGAGGACCCTTTAATCTCTCTGAATCGATTCAGAAAGAGTCAGGACTCAGACATTAATACAGCAGGACTGTACGAAGCTTCAGGTGCTGATTCAATTTGCAGGAGATTCGGCCTGATTTTTAGTATCTGAATCGAATCAGGAAACCAGTAAAAATGTCCAAATTGATTTGAAGCTCTCCGAATCTTCAGAAAAGATCTGGAGAGCTTCGATGATTCGGGCAGTCCCCGGTGGCTACAGCAGGGAGCTGGAG